TCTCTACAAACAGTTATCATCTTTGTTTGATCAATTAGAAACACAAAATTATCAAAATCAATGTTTGTTAGATTTTTCAGATCATAAAATTAAAAATGCTGGTGCCATTATTTTAGCAAAAATCTTAAAATTAAATTCCTCTCTGACTTCATTGAATCTCTGGAGTAATCATATTGGAGATACAGGAGCAACAGCTTTGGCAAAGGCTCTAGAATCAAATTCTTCTCTGACTTCATTGAATCTCTTGAGTACTCAAATTGGAGATACGGGAGCAACAGCTTTGGCAAAGGCTCTAGAATCAAATTCTTCTCTGACTTCATTGGGTCTCTCTGGTAGTCAAATTGGAGCTACAGGAGCAACAGCTTTGGCAAAGGCTCTAGAATCAAATTCATCTCTGACTTCATTGAATCTCTTGAGTAATCATATTGGAGATACAGGAGCAACAGCTTTGGCAAAGGCTCTAGAATCAAATTCCTCTCTGACTTCATTGGGTCTCTATAGAAATCAAATTGGAGCAACAGCTTTGGCAAAGGCTCTAGAATCAAATTCATCTCTGACTTCATTGGATCTCTATTATAATCAAATTGGAGCTGCAGGAGCAACAGCTTTGGCAAAGGCTCTAGAATCAAATTCCTCTCTGACTTTATTGAATCTTAGTTATAATCAAATTGGAGATACAGGAGCAACAGCTTTGGCAAAGGCTCTAGAATCAAATTCCTTTCTGACTTCATTGGGTCTCTCTGGTAATCAAATTGGAGCTACAGGAGCAACAGCTTTGGCAAAGGCTCTAGAATCAAATTCCTCTCTGACTTCATTGGGTCTCTATAGTAATCAAATTGGAGATACAGGAGCAACAGCTTTGGCAAAGGCTCTTGAATCAAATTCTTCTCTGACTTCATTGGATTTTGATGACAAATACAAAGGCTCTTGAATCAAAATCAAACTCCTCTCTGGCTCTTAGATTCTAAAGTTAGGTTTTTTTTGTCAGATGCTTTGTCTTATACTAAAAGAAAAAAGGAGAATTATGAAAAAATTATTGATGATTGGGTATATATATAATAATAACTGAACTATGTGTTAGTTACAGTTGCACCTTGATATAGTCACCTAATATAATTGCATTTGTATAGCCACACATTGCAATTTACTTATCACTAGGCCTATAGAGTGATTATACAAAAAGAAAATATAGTTGATAACCTTGATAATAATTTCAATAAGCAAGCACACAAAAAATATTGGAACGAAAAAAAGCCTGACGCAAGTATCAAATCATGTGATCAGTACCAATAATCGTGTGATAACGTATATTTGCATATTCTGTCTATTTGCATAAAAATCTATCAGTCCCCAACAGTATGCAAATAGACAGGTGCGACTGTAACGTTTTTATAGTGTGCAAAAAAATTTCCCTTTATTTTGTAGTTTACTGGATGTCAGATTAAAGCCATGTGGCATTATATCATAAATAATTTCTGATCTTCATTCTTTATTAAAATCATATTAATATTCAGTTTGTGAGAAATAATACGTCCGAATTGAAATACCCTATATAAACTTACAGTAACAGAAAAAATGACAATTTTTCCTTAAGACACGTAGGGCAATTACATACTTGATCGCTGAGAAACAACGACAAAAGTAACCTACGCATAATTACTCAAGTTGTAGCGAACTGACGTACAGTAGCGACATAAGTATCCGACCGCTCCTAGTTTGGGACAGGAACAAGTAAACGCTTTGAAAAAATTTGCCCAAGTATATAACAAACCATGATTATCCGTAAAATTTTAGCTGATCGAATGTCTCCAGAAAATTTTCCAAACGCCAAAGTTTACCCAAGATATCTCGCGATTTCGATCACAAAATCAGAAATTCGTACCTTGACACTTTTCTAACCAAATTTTGTGATTACATCGATAAATAGTATAGCGTGTTTGTTGCAAAGTGCAATAACGATTTTTTTCTAATTCGACCATACATCTCAAAGAAACGCAGAGATTGATTTAACGAAAAAGATTACGCAAATTGATTAGAAGCATGTAGAGGTATTGATTTTGAAGTTTATGTCGAAATAACGACGTGCGACTTTGATATGTTTTTGTATGTTTTTATCATGGCTTGTTATGCAAGAAAATTTTACTTGTTCCCGTCTCAAACTAGGTGCGGTCGGATACTTATGCTCGCCGCCGTATGTGCATAATATAGGAGTTGTTTGTTGTATTTACGCTTTGGAAGAGATGACGTTGTGAAGTAACGTAGAGAGAAGATCCGGGTGTATACGTGTGTTTGAATATTTTCATCTGTTAAACTGTATACGTTAGAGGACTTGTTCGTTCTTGTAGCAAACTTCGTATATGCGTAATATGACAAAGGAAGTTGCTATTTCATAAACTATTTATCAGTGACTTGCTGACACGCTTTTGATGCCTATTATGTGTACTACCTTAAAAGTCTCTTGTGTAATAAAATGAGGATCTGCTTCACAAGGACGGCCATTATTATCAAGAATGCCTAATCTCTATTTCTTGAAAGCCTTAAAAACGAAATGCATTAGTCATCGTTATTGTCTTGGTTTTGGTTTTTCGGAATGAATTTTGATTTTTGTTTCCTTCGAAGCGTTGCGAACGATTAATCAACTATGTTTTTTGCATACGAAGCTTTTCAGCACGCCGTGTCAAGACCGTTTGCATTTTTCATGTCAATGTCATTATCAAATATTATTTCAATACAAACACGAATTATCTATAAAATTTATGATCAAGCCCACCAAAATGGTATCGATATTCTCCGAATGTACAGCATGACGGAAGGTGTTGGCTGACTTATTTGCGGAGATCAAGTAGTGACAGTTACTCAAAAAATTGGAGTACGTACCCAACTATAGTTTACGTAACCCCCTGTATCAATTGTTCACTGTTCTCCTGATTCACAATGGTCTGATTATGAACTATTGATGCTGTCTTAATAGTAAAGTTCTATTATCCTATAGAAAGTCACACAACGAAGCGTAATTTTACTATTGCCTCATGACTATTTCTTCGTGTTAACTAACTGTCGATAAGAAACATTACAATTTTCGGGTTACGGAAATAGGAGAGCTGAATCATATTCAAAGTCGTACAAGATTTGATTGAAACAACGACGGTTCGGAAAGGGTAGCAGTCATTTCCCCCCCAAATCATTCCCGAAATCTTAACATAGAGTTATTCACTTATAGATAAATGCATTAGATAATTGTCGGGGGAGACCTTTTCGGAAAGTTTAATTGCTTGCGTGTATTAGTATACGTGGACTACGTAACATTTGTGGTTCCCAATATAGGCATGATTTTGGCTGCGCCAGAAAACTATTAGATCATGGACTTATTGTACTACTCTCCCCCACACACGTTTGTATATGTTTGTTTCATCAAGTACAATTATATATTATATGCGATAAACAGACCCTTAATTGGTATATAAGGTGGTAACTTTCCTGGAGCTGTCGATGCCTTTCGCACGACTTGTGATTGAAAGGCATTTAGGAATCGGTTACAAAAGTCTTGGGGTTAGACCAATTAGATATTATAGTTCAAGAGGATTATATAGGTGAGTCTGACAAGTGAAAAACAGATTGATGCGATGATTAGCTGTCCTCCCATTGAGGATTAAATAGTTTAAGAGATGAAAATCAACACAAGTGTCTTGGCCAATATTATCAATCAATTTTCTCTTTTTTTATTATTATTAATTTTTTTTGGACAGATCTCTTCAGCATAATCAACGTCCTGCAGTTTGCCGCTTACTTTCACCTTTACTTGCGCGTCTGAACATGGTCCACTCGGCTGCTTCCTCTCAATACATACTCTCGTCTGATGGCACACATTATGTGCTTAACCATCCGATCGAGAAGTCGGATAGCGATGATCGAACTTACAAAATGATCAAATTGAAAAATGACTTGGAGGCAATGATTATTCATGACGAGAAAACAGACAAGGCTAGCGCCGCTTTGGACGTGCACGTTGGATATGATTGCGATCCGGTGAGTTAAATAGAAAGGCGCGGAAGGCATTGGCTGTTATTATACGCCACCAAAGATACGCTATCCATTTGCCTGCGTTTTAACACTTTTATTATTATTGCTTACATGACTTAGATTCATCTCCAAGGATTAGCTCATTTTTGTGAGCATTTATTATTTATGGTAATATCGTTCTTTCCGTATCAAGGTTGTCGCTGTGTTAACTATACTAACTCTCTTATTTCCTATTATTTTCTCGCAGGGCACGAAGAAGGTAAATATCATGTTATTAACAAATAATTGTTTACTCAAAGATTTGGACTAATATTAATTTATGCATTTTTAGTACCCCAAAGAAAATGACTATAATGAGGTAGGATAACGCACATTTTTGCAAGACTTTGCCGCCCATAAATACGATTACTCAAATTTCTACTTTAGTATTTGTCCGGTCACTCGGGAAACTCGAATGCATGGACAGGACCAGATAGCACGAATTACTTCTTTGAAGTTGGTGGAGATCACTTGGAGGGCGCTTTGGATCGGTATTGTTTTGAATCTATTTACTTTGATATTATGTAGTACCGTTAATATCGCATTCCTAAGCTTGTGCAATTCTCGATACGTAGATTCTCTCAGTTTTTCATTAATTCGTTATTTGATCCGAGCTGTACAGAGCGTGAGTTGCGAGCTGTTGATTCAGGTGAGATTGGACGATATCTGCTTATATGAATCGTTTCTCATTTCTGGTCTTTCACAAAAAGACGGTTATACTGATTCTGCTTTTTTTTCCAATAGAGAACAAGAAAAACCTGCAAGACGATGGGTGGCGTCTAGATCAATTGGAAAAATCTTTAAGCAATCCAAACCATGTATACCACAAATTTGGAACTGGCAGTCTCGAAACGTTGCGCGATCAGCCTCTGAAGAATGGTATCGATGTCAGGGAAGAGTTACTGAAATTTTACGAACGATATTATTCGGCCAATCTGATGAAACTCTGCGTTCTTGGGAAAGGTGAGAGAGCTTTGGGCACTAATAAGAAATGTGAATAGTTTGGGAAGAATGTGTGGTGGAAAAGGATTTGAGCGTTTCTGTTTTGCGTTTGTTTTTTTTTTTGTTTTTTTTGAATAACACGTTCGTGAGGGCAGGCCATTTAGATCGGGTGAAGTTATGTCGGAAATGATGAAATATGAGAATTGTAAACCTTTAACAAATGTTTACATATTTTAGAACCACTGGATGTCTTGACGCGATGGGTAGTAGAGTATTTCTCCGATATACGAAACAAATCGCTTCCTGTTCCCGTAGCTGAAGGAAGTGTGTTAACAGAAAATGAATTATTGGTATAACAATTGAACGTTCTTAAGTGTGTCATTGCATGTGATTATGAGGTTCTGCAAGTTATTAATTTATAATGCTTGTACTTTGTAGAGAGTAACGTTTGCCAAGCCGGTAAAGGACATTCGATACTTGGAACTTGTGTTTCCATTTCCTGATCAATCTCCCTTATTCAAAACAAAGGCATGTTGAAACGCTAGTCTCGTTATTTATTTGAAACCTCGTGTAATAATCGGTCATGTCATTGCTAATTGCTTTTTCAGCCTGGCGGATATTTGAGTCATTTGATCGGACATGAAGGGAGTGGGTCTATTCTCTCTTTGCTTAAGAAATTGGGATGGGCGAACAGTCTCGCCAGTGGCTCGTACAATGTTTCCGTCGGATGCGAGTTCTTTAGGATACAAGTTGATTTGACCGAAGAAGGGCTGAAGCATTACGAAGACGTTGTTAAAGTTGTGTTTCAATACATTGATATGTTAAAGAGAGAAGGATTCAAAAAGTGGATATTTGATGAGGTAAACCGGGTCGATCGATAACACGATAAATATTATTCTGTCTTGCGATGTTGCTGCATTCTGATTTGCAAAACTTAACGTTGCATTACGATTTTTTTTATATATATCTTTTCGATCGATTCCAGAATGCCTCACTAGCTGCTATTGGTTTTCGCTTTGTCGAAAAATTCACAGTGAGCGAGTACGCGTCTTTTGTTACCCAGTCTATGCAAAGACCTTATCCCAGGGAATGGGTTCTGAGCGGACCGTATTTGATTCGTGAATGTGATTCTGCACAAATCGAAGATGCCTTGAACCATTTACGGCAAGATCGGTTTACGCTCATGGTCGTTGGAAAAACGCTGGAAGGTTTGGATCAGAAGGAGCGATGGTACGGAACTGAATATTCGACTAGAAAGTTCGGCGATGATTTCTTGAAGGTCAGTCAGTCTGATGGGAAATAACGTGTAATTGAACAAGGTGCTTCTCATGATTCGTTGTTGGCATGCTGTATTTACGCGCCAATCTCTATGTAGGAGTTGAAGAATTTACCTGCGAATCCTGAATTGAGTCTACCGCAGCCTAACGATTTCATACCGGAGAACTTTGAAACCCATAAGCAGACCGATATAACGGTAACAAACCATTTGTATCATGTTTGGCATACATAACTTGTTATATCTGTCATTTGCTTATGTTGTTTTGTTTGATGCGTTTTTTAACAAATAGCCCGCCAAGCATCCGACTCTGATTAAGAATTCACGGTTAGCTCGTGTATGGCACAAGAAAGACGACAAGTTTTGGACTCCTAAAGTGAATTTATATTTCATGTTCCGGACGTACGTATAATATTACTTGTAACGCTCGTGCCTGTTCTCATACTTTTGAATTCGGTCAAGACGTACTGATTTTCCCATATCTTTACAGTCCATGTGCTTATATTACTCCAATCCATTGCGTAAAGACACGTCTGTATACCGACTTAATTTGTGATGCATTGACTGAATATGCCTATGTAGCAGAAGTCGCTGGATTATCTTACGCTATTACGAACGATTTCGAAGGCATCACCTTGAGGGTCGGAGGATTCAACGACAAAGTGCATATATTACTAGAGAAAATAGTTTCCTTGATGAGAAACTTTAAAGTGGATCCAGAACGTTTTGCGTTGATTAAAGAGCAACTAGAGCGCCATTATCGTAACAATTCATTGGAACCACCATACATCCATGCGCTGTATTATATTCAGTATTTAACACAAGAATTGATATGGACCGCAGAAGAGAAGCTGGAAGTTTTAGATCCTATCACAGCTGAAGATGTCCAATCATTTTATCCTGAATTGCTTAACCACCTCCATGTGGAAACATTGATTCACGGAAACATGTTTGAAGATGAAGCCTTGCGAGCCGTCAAGACCGTCGAAGACATTTTAGCGTATAAGCCATTAATTCCATCACAGATGATCCGACGTCGCCCGCTTCTGTTGCCTGAAAGTGGACATTTTGTCTATCAGCGTAAAGTTTTTGACGAAAAGGAAGTTAATTCTTCTATTGTGTACTATGTCGATGTTGGAAAGGCGGTAGACGTCAAGCTTAGGGCGCGGCTGGCTTTACTAGTTCAGATTGCAGATGAGCCATTCTTCGATCAGTTGAGGACGAAAGAGCAGTTGGGTGAGTTAGTGGAGAGTTATGAGGGATCATTACATTAGAGTTTCTGTGGGCTTTTAATGAGACATTACGGGTGACTCATATTTGATGTTTTTCAGGCTATGTGGTCAGGAGTAGAATGCGCAATGAATGTGGCAGTATTGGCATGGAATTTATTGTTCAAAGTGTAAAAGATACGGTGCATTTGGAGAACAGAATAGAGGCATTTCTGTCGAAACTTCAAGTAAGAAAAAAGTGTGATTGATTTCGTCAATACTGCATCAGGCTAACGGGGTTTCTAAATTTTTAACAGTCTACGATTGAAACCATGTCTGAGGAAGAATATCAGAAACATGTACAATCTTTGATAACGACAAGACTCGAAAAGGACAAGAATTTAGGCGAAGAGAGTCAGCGATACTGGATAATTATCTATAAAGGACTTTATAATTTCTTCCAAGGTAACAAAATCGATTGATACTAGTGCATTTCCATACACGCTGTTGCAACAAGCACTAATCAAAACGTGACGTTTAACAATTTCTTATCTAGTCGATCAAGACGTGGAAGAACTCAAAACCATCTCCAAGTCGTCCCTTCTGGACTTTTTCAATGAATATGTACATACATCCTCCAAGACCAGAAAGAAACTTTCTACTCATTTACGCTCACAAAATCCTCCCCCATCGTCACCTCATGCCAAGACGTTTGATATTAACAGATTGTTCAGCTGTCTTCAGTCACATTCCCTAACATCTGAGATAACCCTAGCAGATCTTTCTAGCAATCTGGAGAGCAAAAACTTTGGGTCCCCTGATGGTCAAAACGCGTTGAAAAAGTTCCTCGCTGATAAAACTAAAGCAGACGACAAGGAAATTGAACAAGTGATAAAGAAGGTCAATCAAGCCCTTGTGGTCGTGAGTAATAAAGAGGATAGCCAGACCAAAGTTGAGGTGGATCAAGAAGTAGCCAAGGACAGTAATGAGACGTCAAGAGATGATTCTGTATTGTCGGAAAAGAACGTCGTCATTGAAGATTTGGCGGTATTCAAGAGTAATATGAAATTGGGCCCGGCTCCGACAACCACAATTCCTTTTGAAACATTGTCCAAGAGTGATGTCAAGAATCAGAATTAAAGTAACGGTTTTGCCGAACTTGATATCAGCAATGACTAATGTACTTGGTATAGAAAGTTTCTTTGTGTATATTAGTGGTAGCAAACGGGGATGCCTAATTCTTGTGTTAAAATAAAAAAGTCCCCCACTTTACGGACATCTCGATGCAAAAAAAAAAAAAAAAAAGACATTTGTATGCATTAAAAAGTAGGACGTTTGATATAAATATATTTATTGTATATGATTCTCTTCGCATTCCCATACAACTATTCTCTTTCCCGCCCCGTCCCGCCCCGTCCCGCTCGTCGGAATCTCCCTCAGTCGCTGAGTTCTTCGACAGCGTCAAAGAACTCATCGTCGCTGCTGCTCGACTCGTCAGCACCACCTGACGGTTCATTCCCACAACACGCAGACCCCTCCGGACACACTACTACTTTTTGTTCTTCTTCGCCACCCCCTCTCTCGTACTGCCAGGGTTTTGGCGTTCTCCTTACCCTCTTCTTCTTGGGTGTTTTTCTCGGGGTATATTTATAATAAGGGTGGTTTTTATGATGGATTTCTCTGACGACGTCGGCAACCTTAGCGAAAAAGTCTTTTACCTCGGGAGATTCCGACTTCCAGCGGGCCGCCGCTTCTATAGAAATTCTATTCATGTTGAGGGGACCTTCCATGCCGTTTCGTTTTCGCGCAAGAAATTCTCTTCTGTATATCATAAAGCTATTCGGTGGTCGAGCAATATCCGTATGCCCGCGTCGAACGTTCTTTGATACTTTGGTGAAATCGACGAGTTCTTCGACACTAAGAATTATATTCGGGGGAGGGACGATTTCAGACAATAACGATGAAATAGGACGGTCGGTGGAAAGTTCTGCGTGAAAAACGATTGTTGTTGGTTGGTTCATGGTTCTTTAGTACGGTCAAAATTGATATGTAATATATGGGTATTAAAATTTGACAGCAGGTCTCTGTTGCGCGCGAGTCTGTCGCAAAGAACGAAAAATCAGATTACGTCCCCTGCCACTCCCTATGCGAGATTAGATATATTATATGTATGTCATGAAAATCACGGGGTATAATAAAAGCATGTAATTATATGAATAGTAATAATGATAGAAGATGACCTATACTTTGTATTAAGGCAGACCAAAACAGCATTTAAATTAAAACGCGAAACGTTCTCTCTTTTTTCCAATAATGTTGCACACGCGTTCTTTCCAGTTAACGCGATAATGGAAGGAGAGTAATACTTTGAGTTGACGTTCTTTGCTAAAGATAAAGTTTTAGAGACAAACAATTTAGTTAAAGATGACAATTACGATATGTAATTAAAGCGCTGTTATATTCTGCTAAATACATACGAATGACAATATACGATGTGTTCAAAAAATAGTCATGTTGGTTAAACCATGGACAGCGTTTTTTCTGATAATATGATAAACAGTTCAGGTGATTGGAATAAACATAAAATGCATCATGATGCGAAAGCAGACTTTAACAGAACGTTAGTTTTCAAAATTATGCGAGACGTTTGATAACTGATATCATAAAAATTATACAAACAAATATTCGTCATTCATATAAGAAAGTAAGATCTTTTTTACTTGACCAGACTACCCGTAAAATTTTCGAGTACTCTCTGTATAAATAAAACCTTTTGTTATTGTAATTTTCTCAAATGCGCAACTGCAATGACTTTTCAAACGTTGAATCAGCAATATACGTGCATGGTAGCGTTTTTTATCTTTGTCTGAGCTCTCGTTTTTCCATATACGCGAAAGGGACACTTGAAAATTGAACGTGCATCAATGCGACGCTGTTGTAAATCACATTAAATGGTTATTGCAAATCATAGACATTGAACTAATATCCAACGTATCCTTATAACACAATGCCGATATAATCTCATTTAAACAGAAATGTATTCCTGATAAGAGTGTCAACCGGAAGAAGAATCAACGTAATTAGAATAACAACTTGATTTTTTTATTCTTTGGGGTGAGATATGATAATAGTAATGCTGGTCCGCTTAAAATTTTGTCGTAATCAGCAGAATATCTTGTAAACAATGGAAATTGGATCTCTCATTGACAATTGCCAGTAAAAATTTTATTATGATTTATAACAAACCTACATGTTCCATTACTAATCCAGACTGTTCCTCTTATCTGTTTTTCGAAACAGAATCGCCAACAGGTTTACAAGTCCATTATTTTTAGAAAAGGGGTTTTTATTGTATTCACAAATCTGGTTGACAAGCCAGTCTCGCGTTAATTATTTAGAAAAACTCTAAATGAAGAATGACATTTGAATGGCATACGTCGATGCAATTGTCAAAGTTGTAATGGTTTTTCTGGTTATCATGTATTACTCTTTCTATAGAATCGAATACGTGAACTGCCATAACAACGGGTTGGGGACCTTTTTTTTTTCTTAGCAATAACACTTTTTCAATTGGTTACGACTCATTGATCTAATCAGCAAGTGATGACAAAATTCTGTGATCGAGTCGTTAAAGTTGGCTTCTGCAACTCCTGCGTCATGTTATGCTCATGCAATAATTATCTATCCCCATCTCTGTAAACACTATTGCATTGGATATTATCTGAAACAATATGTCATGTGCATGTGACCATTGAGATTGAGAGGAGGGGGAGGAGAGCGAGTAATTGAGTAACACAGAGTATAATTTGTTTTTGTTGTGATTTAAAAATATCTGTGCATTGGTTTTCCTACAAATTATCCTTTACTTGAATAAGGAAATCGATAAGCTTTGTCGATTGCAGATCTAACACTCCTTGATTACTCCTTGTGTGAATGCTGTGTAACGAAATAAATTGAAACCATGCCAAATAAGAATCTGTTACGAATAAGAAGAGATTGGGGCTTTTGTCTGCCCTTTTGCCCCCTTAAAATTCTTTCATCATGGGGAAACTAATAGCAAACACTCACATGCACATTGTAATCGATAACATTGAATATCAATTTATAAGTTAAACGAGGTATGGTAATGTACATCACAATGATACTCGCTCGCATGTTAATCAATACGAAAAACGCTAATTTGGCAGAACAAGCAAACTGTAGGCCGATTCTACTCGAATATTTCTTTTCAATTGTCTGTCTATCTAATGTGTTTATAAAAAAATTGTACTTATGATCTGGAAATGTAAATTCGGCATCAATTCGACATTTATGGCAATGCTGTATAAATTTTACTGTAATAACAATCCTTTATATAACAATAATAGAATCATGAGTAAACAATGGACCTTTACACAAATTAGATACATTTCTCCGATGCCCCCTGCACATACTTGTGTCTTCTCATATATTTATATATAAACTGCACCATTCTCCCTTCTTGTGTCGACCTGTCTCACTGCTCCTTCGATACTATCGTTGCGCGGACGGACATATAACGCTAGCGTTTACGGCTGTCTCTGTCAACGACTGTGATTCCGGCTAGTCGACTAAATATAAAAAAGAACGACTCCCCATTTTCACAACAATACGGTGTATTTATATTGTAAATTTCTAAAATAGAGGTGAGTCAATTTCTGCCCGTAACACCATGCATGAATTAGAACTCCAAAAAGAATACATTACACAAAACATTATTGGTTACAATTTTCGACTATTTAAATAACATCTACTCTTCTCCATTTTTGCTTTAGCTTCCTCATTCGAGAGGCCAAAACCCTCAAGATCTTCGCTCACTTTGAATCCGTTCGATCCCAAATAAAAAAATATTTTTTTCCCTTTCTGACTGGTATCAGAAATCGAAAAAAAAACAAACCAACTTGTATAATTAGAAACAAAAACAAAAAGACCAAAGAAAAAAAACCACACACATCATAATCTGTATATCGAAAATGGGAGGACATATAATCTGGAGTCAGTGGGCGCGCGTGATTGCTATAGTCGCTGCAACCTGTGAGTAGCAACCTTGGGATTAATCAAACTGTTTACGAAAAAATAGACACATGCGCTAACTCTACAAATACTTTCAACTTTTAGTTCAAGTCCTTGGTGGTGTTTTTGGCCTCTTCTACCGACACAGCGTGTTCGTTAGTCTTCCATCAGTCGAAAAAGTCGTCCTAAACCCCGTCAATTTTCTTGCGATAATATGTATAATTACTGGCTTTGCAGTGCTGGTCATGGAATTCTTTGTCAAAAGATACTTTGTTGCTCGAGCGGTTTTATACATACTCATTGCGGGAGTATCAGTGCTAAATTATCAAAACACAAATCCAGCGTTATACCTACTTATCAGTGCTGTGATGTATATAGCTGCAGAATTCAATTCAGAAAACGTAGCGACGGGAACAAATGAAAAAGGGAAGGGGAACATGTCGGATGATGAAAAGACGGCGACTGGTACGCCGGATTATGTATAAACTAAAAATCTTTTGTTTAGAAAAACAAACCAAAAAAAAAAAAAGTACATATGATTGAATTAATTGAATGTAATGAAACGAAATGAAACGAAATGAAACGAAACAGACGAGTTTCAGTATCTGTTGTACATGTATAACGAAATAAAAATAAATGGTGATAAAAGTGTAACTCAACAATCTCGAGTTGTGCATTTGTTTATGTAAATATTTTCAACTTTAATGGTGATGCAATATCGCGCAGATTATAGCGAGATTTTACTAGAGAAAAAGAGTTGATTGTACGCATAAATGTCTTATCACATATCGCTATTAGAACGAAGCTCAATGGCAAAAGTGTACACATGCGACGAGATAACTAAGCACAATGCATACATTAGTCACGAGTTCCAATCGACTGTCGATATATGCATTAATGGTTTTTTTATGCAACAAAGAAAAACGTATGATGTCATTTTTTGGGGAAATTGAAACTGTTCAAGAGGATCATGTCTGAATTAAGAATATCTCATTCACGGGATCTTAATTCTGCTGCATGCGTTGCCACGTTGATAATACATGCATAATATTGTGATCTTTTCAAAAAGTGTGATTCGGACTACCTTTTATGGTTATTTTCGATGCTTGCTGGAAAAAGAACTATTGATGGTACGGTCAATATAACAAAAAGGTAAGTGTAGTAGACACTGTACATAATATGAAAACGATAATTATACCGATATCAGAAATAAGGTAAGTGTAGTAGACACTGTACATAATACGAAAACGATAATTATACCGATATCAGCAATACGTATGAAAGCTTAAACTTGCCAGTACTGTCCATTCAACAATCAATGGTTGTAACTGTCAAATTTGGCAGGGTGTATAATCCATGGAAACATGATATTAGTAAGGCTCAACTTGAGGCACGCATTTTGTTCTCTCTCTTGAAATTAATAATGAAACACCAGACGCCAACATTCGCATGGTCCGTTAATAGTCGCATTTGACTAAATCATCTAACGCTTTTATTATAAAAACGCCAGATATAGAATGATAACAACCTTCTTATTATAGCAAATGTTCGTTTGTCAAACGTTTTTTTTTTATCCTATTACTAATTATAATGTTAATTATGTAGAAACGACAGCGTTCGTCTAATTTCCAGTCGACATAATCCCTACGCGCCAATTTGTCAACGAATCACGTGAATGTACCAACGACAGTTTACTCTCGTTTCCTGTATGACTAAACTTTCCAACGAGAAAAATTTAATTTATTGCTGCTCGCCCACATTATTTACATCGTGTACAAAAAAAAAAGCAATAATAAAGCAAGTCTTAATGTGCTTCCACTCATTTCTCCAACTGAATAGGTCCAGCAGGTCCAAATCCTCTCGCCTCAGGATACCTAAACGGCAGCTCTCCATCACCAAAGTTGACTTGTAACTTGCATGGCCCATCCGCACCGATTGCCGGAAACCAAATATACCGCATCCCAGTAAACGCAGTCCCAAGATTTTTTCCATTTTTCGTAAAGAACACGTATCCGAGATCGGGATAATATCCGCATCCGATAGTATCACCAACTTGACCCCATACAGGACCATAATTACGGCCTCCAAAGGCGTCATTGAACTTGTGTCCATCATCAGAGTGGTATCCGACCGAGTAAAGATTCCAGCCAGGCAATCTATTGGGCGTGAAAAAAATAGAAAAGTTTGTACATCTGCGTGGAAAAAAACAACTAATAAACGTTTTGCTTGGCAATTGAATGTTTACATACCTGAACGATGGATAGGGTTTCGTGGCTAGACCTATTGCTATTGTTGTATCTTTTGGATTTGCGTTCGATAGCACGGTAATCTCAAAGTAGTGTAATAATCGTGCTTCAGAATTCCCAATCGATTTCTGTAAAGACTTGTCCTTTTTATTTGCGATTGTCGCTTCCTGATATTTTAATATCGTATTATTAGCATACGTATAACGACAGCAGATCCAAACAAGGATTATAGTTTTACAAACACATTAGTGTATACAACAGCAGTAATACTCACTGAATCAGGCATCTGTATTACCGTGCTTTCTGCCGGCGCAACGCTCGCATCTCCAGTATCAACAGAATCTGCCTGAACTCGCGGAACAAACAATGGATAATTCGTCTGCACTACAGTATCTTCTTTCTTATTGAACTGCACCACTCGCCCTTTCTCCGAGATCGTCACTAATCGAGAATTTTCAGATACGAATTGATACGCAGGTGCTCCTCCTTGACTGATAATGGACTGTACTTGTTCATCTGGTGGCAGCAACTGTTGAGGTGGATGTTCTCTGGTAAAGTTTTCGCCCGCTCTATATGAGTCGGTCGATGCTTCGTGTCGCTGCCCAAACTTAAAGATAGATTCTGGCGCAGACGAGAGAGTTCCATACGCCGGAGGTGCATCACCAGACATGGGTTGTCTTGTCGTCAAGATTGGTCTGTAAGTACGTTCTTTTTTCGGTCTCGACAAGCAACAGCAACACAAGAGGATCAATGACCAGACAATAAGACACGACTTCCAATCTCCGGTTCCACCACCCCTTCCTCCCCCTCCCCATCTTCCGCCGCCACCACCACCTCCTCCACCCCCACCCCCGCCACCGCCTCCACCCCCGCCACCGCCTTTAGACAGCACACAATCCGACTGAAGAAGTATTATACATATACATAATAATAAATGTACTGCGCGCATCTTGTCGTGAGAAATTTTATCAGACTTTGCAACGAGTTATTCTTTTTTTTCACACTCGCTTTTCCCCAAATGATTAAAGCGCAAGTCAAGTATTTTGGACGTATCAATAGAATTGTCCCGTATTTATCTGGGCTAGGGAAAAAAAAAGATAAGTATTGCTGTCAACATAATACTGAACCTTATTTATACCTGTTTGATCATATGACATGGTTTATTCGTGCGGGAGGGGAATGCTAAATATTCGGGTCTATTGTACGCTGCTACTCAATAATCATTGTCATGCCCAAATAAGCGTTACAGTACCACAAGATGTCAGAGTACTAACCAAACACAAACAATAAAAATGTTGTTGTAAGATCTATAAAAATTCACACGTCTTTAGAACACCTAAATTCCAAGTACTAGACAAGATGACACCAATTAGCGGCCAAAACTTTTGGTTCGAATTGATAAATATGACTCGGTCCCTCCGTTACACCCAGGTCTCCTACTTGAGTATTTATTTATCACAGCAGACACCCACACTCTAAATAATGATAATAAAAATAATATTATACATTTATAACTCGGGATAGTTTCTGTATGCGGTTGAGCAGAATATCTCCCTGTTTGATTGTCTGTTGATATTGAGCATTCTTTGCATCTGGTCTATTAGTCTCAACTATACCACCAACTTTATCAATAACACAATTCAATCGACCAGCAGCGATGAATTTTGAGACGTCCCTGTATAAAAAAAATGAACGAAAGCATTAGCAAATAATACATACAATATAACACATCCACAAAAGAAAATCATGTCATTATATCATTTGAACCGTACGTACTTGTCAATGAACTCTTCCGATACACCGAACGCATTGGCCATGCTCTCCATAGTCAATGATCGGTAAGATTCAAGTAACTGAGCGTAAGCAATGATACGCATCTCTCTCACGTAAAAGCGAAGATGTGGAAATATGTAAGCGGATGTACGCAGGTGTACTCTCTCGACATCGGCTGCAAAAAAGTCAAAAGTCGACAAGTATATGAGTTATCGGTATGCGTACAACAATACACACGCGTACGCGCGCGTATCCACACACATATACATACGCACACACACCCTCCCACCATTCTAAAAAACTTACCAAGAGCTCTAAAGAATTTCGCATATTCACAATTGTACAATGATGTAATGTAGTCTTCCAAATGCGGAATCTCATTTAACACCTCCAACACTTCAGGGGCATCGATGACTTTCTTCTTTAAATCTACTCGTTTCAATGCAATGGCCCCAGCCAAGACTGCATATTTGACAAAATCCTTGTATTCCATCAACTCGGTAGACATGAACGTTGAAAGAGTATCGAGGAAAAGGCTGGCGGCTGTTTTAAAATCTCGGATAGATAAGCGATAAACGCCCTCGTATACTTTGAGGCGATTGCGACGGTCCCAGTCGCCGCCTTCTTCAATTAGACTTGAAGGAAAAAACCAAAAAGGTAAAAACTGAGCGATATTCGTGTTACATTTAAACACTACATTTTATAAGGTAGTAAAAATATGATTAAAAAAAAAAAAAAGTACCTTCGAGCACGTTCAACATTGCGACTGATCAGATCATCATCATTAAAAAAAAATCCTACACGCACAAAGCAAAATATTATATCTATCCGAGATCCCAATCCAGCAGTCTTCTCCAGCGCAACACGATAAGCAGCGAGTGCTTTGTCCTATAGAAAAAAAACCACATTAACAAGACGTTAACAACAATCTCAAACACGCGCATGATCCTTCGTCCTTTACCGATCATTTTACCTTATCCCCGATATTAGCGAAAAAGTTTGCCTTTGCCAACATTGCATCACAAATCTCCGTCTCTCCCAAATTCTGCTCAGCATCTTCAATTTTCTCATCGAGCTTTTGCAGTTCTTCATTGTTTGCCTGTTGATATTGCGCGAGCAGTGCCTTATCAAGTGGTAGTTTCAGTTCATCTGTCAATAATTGGTAGAATGGAGCCATCTCTACGAGTTTGAGGCGAGAGAAAAAAATTAGAATAAGAAATTGTATTGGAGCGTAAAAAGTTGTTGGAGTCCAAGAAAAAAGAATTTGTCTCGAATACATGATGCCATCTCTTTATCTGCAACTGGATCGATCCATTTGTCAATCGGCCGCTCTAACAAATAACCGCATTCCTTTCCTCTCAACACCACCGCAACTTTTTATGATCGTATTAACCAAGACGAGCTTTCGTCCCTTTTGAAAATTCCAGTAA